AGTCATGTGATGAGAGCATTTCATAAAAGCACCGTCCTAACGCAAAAAGGGTCTGAAGGTTATTGGGATAATGACATCAATTCAAGCTCTAGAACTTATTTTTTGCACTAATAACTTTCAGGACTTGACTTTTTGTAACTAGTCATAACTTAAGACAACAGTACCAGAAGAAGAAATTGCCAGAATAAAACATTACCTTTGGTCGTGGTTTTCCCATAATTTTACAGACAAATGTGGCATCACCACCTTCAATAAGTTGTGTATCGTTTAATTGTTGTAATATTTCTGGAGGCTGGGTGTTGATGACTCTTTCTTCAGGTTGTTCAGAATCGTATTCTGTTTCTGTTTCACTCATCATCTTAATCTTCCCATCACGATAATTTATCTCTTCCATTAATTTTCTCTCAAACCCAGACACGGTAAATTCCTGTAGAATAAAAACAGATGTAAATACTAAAATAAACTTTTCTGGAACAAATGGCATGAAGGCAATATACATGTGTTACTATTAACCCTAAATCCTGAAAACAATATCAACTGAACATAGTCTTTGTTTCTAGATCTATGACACAAGGTGAATACAGACATCAGACGAAAACTACCATGTAGACGAAAAAGTCCAAATAGGTCAGAAGTCAAAATTCTTATTCTAGAATGACAATTTAAATAGTTCAATACCATAAAAAAAGAGTGCAAAAGTTGAAAATAATTATGGGATAAGATAAATGAAGAGCCTGAAGGTCACATATTATCAGATAAACAACATAATAAAGCCTGGCTGGGCTATAGCACATCTAAAAATTTGAATCTTCATGCTTTTCAGGAGTCGAAGTTCCGATGACGTTTCAATATAAAAAACTTACAGAGTCGCTGACGCCAGCAGACAATGGTTCATCAGGTTGTGCTAACATTCTCTCTTCTGATCGTCTGTCAATCAACTTCTCTGTTGGTGTTCGGTAAAATTCTTTCTCTGGTTTTTTGGGAGCTTGAGCTCGAGCCAGTATCTCTTGTACTGGAGATAAATCTGACACTAATGGTTCATCTTGAACTTTACGAACTAGAAAATTTTTAAATCACAATAAGATCCATATTGAATAATTATTATGTATTCTTAACACTTTCACAATTCTTGAAAACTAGTAACAAAATTT